TGGTAGGTTATGGGTTACTCACACTATGCATACAAAAATACATACAGGTTAATAATTAAGCGATCTGCCTCAATTTGCCTCTCATTTAAATGTACTTACATTTGAAAACAATGACAAGGGTCAAGAGATAAGACGTAATTATCAAATGATCGGATCAATATTTTCATAAACACCAACACATAATCAACATATACAAAATTCGTGGTGACATGGCTTTCATTCTAATCACTAATTCAACATACTGTCACGTAGTGTATGTGTGACTACAGACGGGGTTTGTTTTGGTCTAGATGTATACTGACCAAATACAAGCCATCATTACAAATAAATACGAGTATAACAGTAACGCTTTTCCGCACCTCATAGTTCCCTAAAAGAGCGTATAGTGTTCTGTGTGTGTTATTGGACGTTCCTTGGTATCGGCTGCAATACTGGATATTCCTCTGCCTGCGTCTCAATTAGTCTCTTCACAGACCTCATACAGAACCGAGTTTATCTGAGTTTGTCTCACGCTTGTAATATCTGGGACCGGACCAAATAGGAAACAAAGATCCTTCATTATTTTAGTACATTTCTTGCATTATCATGTAACTGCTACCTAAGAACGAGAAAGTTGTAACCGACTTTCCACCCAGAAAATAACCCTGGTATGTGCAGCCATCTCGCACTCGTTGCATACTGACAACTCTACATGTTACACGGTAGGTTAGTTGGTGGAGGCAATATGATACTAAAATGTAGGACTTGGAGTCAGGTCTCAATAAGGTCATTGACTTTTTCCAATTTTCTTAATTCTCGCATCCGCACTATGGAACTACAACCCACTGCGCCTCTAACAGAAAAATGAATACCAGGAATCTTCTTCAGAGTAAAGGGCGGTCTGTGCGTAAGGCTGACAAACTCACTACCATCTGGGAACCAAAGTTCTAGAAGACGTGCGAACCTCGTTGTCTCAAATCACTACATGCCTCCACGTCCTGTCGCAAGGATATTCTTCACTTTTATAATCAATTCATTTACACAAAACAAATTCATATTATTTATAAGTTTTTCAGAATAAGTACATTTATTTCAACCTAGTCTTGATGATCACGATTGGTACAAGGAAGAAAATGTTCTGTCTTCTAATGCAGCTAGGCGAAGCTGCTGAGAGAATTCCACCACACGGTGCTGATGATACAGGAGTATCTGGAGTTTCAGGAGTGCAGCAGCCGTCGACCTTGGACACAGATGCACTATCTTCACTGCCTTCACTGCCATCAAATGACGATGAAATTCTCATTGGAAACCATCTTGTGAGTATCATTTAATATAAAAATTCCAAAGAAATTTCCCAACATTTAAATTTTCGATTCATCGACAACCTAAACAAATTGGAAGTTTTACAGCAGAATAAAGAATCGTGAAAAGTGGTTCAAGAACATATGTGGAAATCTGAATAATATTTAGAACTATTGCAGAAAATAGACAGTCAAATATTTTGTATGTTAGGGTTTACTCACACTTTGCATACCAAAATGCATACAGCTTACTCATTAAATAGACTTAACTCAGTTTGCCTCACATACACTTACATATGAAAACATTGAAACAGGTCAAGAAATAAGACGCAATTATCAAATGATCGGATCAATATTTTCATAAACATCAACACATAATCAGCACATACAAATATCGTGGTGACATGGCTTTCATTCTAACCACGATGTTCGGAGCTAGAAATCGTAGCGTGCGGACGCATATTGCTTGTCTCTGGCACGGTGCTGAGTTAAAGTGGAAACATACGGAATCGTTACAAAATACAAGAGTCATCAATCCAGTGATCTTCATTATTGTGTGTGATAAAACAAGG